CAGTGGAGTAATATATATATATATAGTTTATTCGAAAATTATAACATAAATATGTTATAAAATCACTATAAAAATAGCTATTTTGCTTCACCACATCTGGTGTCTTATCAGGTGATGGTGCTCAACATTAGTAGGCACCTAATGAGGATTAACTAATATAGTAATGGATGGTGTTGTAGTATCTACTAGTGATACATGAGGTGGATATGAGGTATATTAATTTAATTCTCTGAACAACTGCAGTGTTTCATTGGGGTAATGAGTCAAGCAAATGTTTGCACCCTTATATATGGAGATGTGGTTCTACAGAGGGATGTTTAAAATAGCATGAACGGAACATGTAAGGAAGTTTTAAAGAAAATAGAATAAGAAAAGGACACTTCTACTTAGAATAAGAAAGTGACCCATGAAGTTTCTGGGATACATAATGAGAAAAGAGGGATTAGAGAATTTGACACTCACAGGAGGAGCAAAGGAAAATATCAAGTAACCTATATAATGAGTGTGTGCAAATGGATGGCAGAACAGGGACTAGGAGAGATAGTAAGGAGACAGATATTACTTAGAGCTATGAAGGATAGGAAGTCGTGGAGAGTCATGTTCACCCATGTTCTGAAGATACACAGCATGTAAAAGCAGTGCTTATCAAAATCACAGACATATGAAAGCCATAAGATATTGTAAATGCTCAAATAACATACTAGCAGAATAAGGCCTGAAAGAACTGTTTTTGCATCTTGACAGCAACAAAGAGTGCAGTTTGCTTCACACTTGTTGCATGTCTTCAATACAGTCCTGATTTGGTACCATCAGAATTGGCACTACTTGATTTGGCACTACCAGATTTCTGGTTGTTCCTAAAATTGAAAGAGACTAACATTTTTCATTCAATGCCAAAATTTAAGTTGCTGCATGCAATGGGATCAAAAGTAAACCAGAACTTTCTTCATGAAGTGAACAGAAAAGTGGATGGAACGTTTGGAAAAATTAGATGAATATATTGAGAAATAAACATGTAATTTTGAATGGAGATAAAAGAAATACATTTACTTCATTCCAGTTTAAAACATATTTTATAGGATTGTACAACTTACCTATCAATCAACCTTCAAAAGTTTTGAAGAGAAATAAATTTACTTCATTTTAATACCAGTTTCCTTACCCTGTTTGGTCTAAAACTAGTTTTATAAAACTGTAGACTTTATCAATCAATTCTCAAAGTAAATTGTATGTTTTGAAAAAGTTGTCATAATAATTAAAAGAGAAATGTTTTTATTCTTTACTAACATTCAAAGATAGAAGCCTAGTTCTTAATACCACCTTTAAAAAGCAATAAATTGTTAAAGGTCAAAGTTGATCAAATATCTATACAATTTTGTTTTAATGTTCTTTATAAGGATAAGTAATGTTACATGATTTCCACAACAGAAAATACTTTTCAGAATTACCATTACTATTTAGTGCAGGTGTCATCAAACTTTTTTGACCAGACACCCCCTTTCATTACTTTTCCTTCCTCAGTGACAGAAAATATCTTTGAACCTTAAAACTCTCACTGATGTTGGCAATTAAAATGTTAACTAAAATGTGTGAAAATTTAAGAAATTTTTCCCCCAGTGTCATCAGGTTCAGAATCCTCCTTCCAAAATATATTTAAGAAAATATATTAGATAACCCCAATGAATCAAGCAAATAATATATTAAGTACACCAAGCCTAAAAACAGCTGATGATGTGGAACTGAAATGTATAACTGCTATTAATATACATTAATAAGGTATTATATGTAAAGAAGAAACTTGGAGGGAATTGTCTCAAATGCAATGAGTTAGTCAGTCGTTCACTTCTGAACCGACTGTTCGGTTGAACTCTCTGTCTTCGGGCGGGGAGGAACCCGAATGAGGCTACACCGAGGGGCGGAGTCTCGTTTAGGGAGGTAAACCGGCCCTGAGCCCGTTTATACGGGTTCAATGGGCAATATTTTTGGGCTGAGCCCACAGGCTTGGAGAACCCACAATAAATAACCGACCTTGTGTCACATGCTGACCTAGTGTGTGTGTGGGGGGGGGGTGACTGAATATAGTCTCAAATGCAATGAAGCTTTGAAATTAGTGCCTTATAAAAGTCACAAAGATGGGTATGCTTGGAGATGTATGAAAAGAGCATGTCCTTCATACAAAAAATATATCAATATATCAGAATAGACTTTCTTTTTGTTGGGTTTGACATTTCTTTAAAAGATATTATTAGTTATTTAGTATGCTACCAGGCAGTCAATATACAGCATTTTTTTTTGGATGCAAAAAAACATGGATGCAAAAATGCATACATTAGTTAATATATAAAACCATCTCAAGAAGAAAATGCCAAAGGCCAATTTTAGCAGAGATAAATTGAGTGAGCCTGGTATTGTTGTCCAAGTTGTTAGCACACCAACTCTCATTCAAGCCCTTGACTATCATCAAACCCTTGGAACTCCTCACCAACTCCCATTCAAGCCCTTGACTATCATCAAACACTTGGAACTTCTCACCAACTCCCATTCAAGCCCTTGACTATTATCAAACTCTTGGAACTCCTCACCAACTCCCATTCAAGCCCTTGACTATCATCAAACCCTTGGAACTCCTCACCAACCCCCATTCAAGCCCTTGACTATCATCAAACCCTTGGAACTCCTCACCAACTCCCATTCAAGCCCTTGACTATCATCAAACCCTTGGAACTCCTCACCAACCCCCATTCAAGCCCTTGACTATCATCAAACACTTGGAACTGCTCACCAACCCCCATTCAAGCCCTTGACTATCATCAAACCCTTGAAACTCCTCACCAAACCCCATTCAAGCCTTTGACTATCATCAAACCCTTGGAACTCCTCACTAACCCCCATTCAAGCCCCTTGACTATCATCAAACCCTTGGAACTCCTCAATATAAACCCCATTCAAGCCCTTGACTATCATCAAACCCTTGAACTCCTCACTAACTCCCATTCAAGCCCTTGACTATCATCAAACCCTTGAATTCCTCACCAACTCCCATTCAAGCCCTTGACTATCATCAAACTCTTGAACTCCTCACCAAACCCCATTCAAACCCCTATCATCAAACACTTGGAACTGCTCACCAAACCCCATTCAAGCCCTTGACTATCATCAAACCCTTGGAACTCCTCACCAAACCCCATTCAAGCCCTTGACTATCATCAAACCTTTGGAACTCCTCACCAACTCCCATTCAAGTCCTTGACTATCATCAAACCCTTGGACTCCTCACCAACCCCTATAGGGTCGATTGGACCCCATTTGACAACTCCTGACTTATTGTATAAATTCTTTTGGCTAGTGATGATAAATAATTTTTTTTTAACATCTGACTCATATTGAGTGAAATAAGTAAAAATAAAAACAAAGTAATAAAATATCCTTTAAATAATAAAGAACATTTGAATTTTCAATAGAATGTCTTGCAGGTAAAACTTTACAAAAACTCACTTTTTTTGACTTTCCACTCACAGAATGAGAGAAAATTGGGAGTAACCGAAATGTGGTTCTACAGAAGGATGCTGAGAATTTCATAGATGGAGTGTGTAAGCAACAAAGAAACTCTTAAGGAAAATGGAAGCAAAAAAGACTCTTCCACTCAGAATCAGAAAAAGTCCATCTTGCATATTTACAAATCCAGCAGTTGACTGTGCATTGAATGCTGTTGCCATTTCTGGTCAGATGCTCCTGCTACTCATCTCGAAGTTCTTGATAAAATCCAAAGAAGGATCTGTAATGTAATTGATCCTGACTTGGCATCTCGACTTCAGTCACTTTTTCACTAACGTAACGTGGCTTCCCTTTGTCTTTTCTACAAATACTTTCACGGCAACTGCTCTGACAAGCTTTTTCCCCTGGTGCCTGGACTACGTGATTTTAAGTGTGTTAATAGACTGGCATCTAGGTCCCACCCTTTTACTGTTGAATTAATTAAATGTAACCACCACTTCTACTCCAACAGCTTCTTTTCTCGCACTTTCCATCTGCGGATCTCCCTTCATTTTCCTTGTTTCCCTGATAACTACAATCTTCAAAAAATTAAATGCAATGTCATTCTCCATCTTCTATTTTTCTTGAATCCTGTTCAGCTTTTACCCTTGTTGTGTATGATACACCTAATTTACATTCCTCGGGACTACCGACCATATAAATATGGGTTGGTACCGGAAGACGGGGAAGATAGTAGAGATTAAGAAATTGAATCCAGAGACTCTGTATAAACTGCGATTTAGTCAACCCATTATGCAGGAACAGTCTTCCCAAGAATATACCAAACTAACTGTAAATATTGTGTACCTATTCTTTGTTTCAAATAATTATGAATTTTGTTAAGAGACATTTTGTGTTGTATTATTCCATGCTTATTTAAGCTTCAACAACCCTCTCTTGAGTTCCCTTTATACCCAGATATTTTCCTCTCACCTTCAAACTCTGTAACCTCCTGTGTACTAGTGGCATTCTCGCCTTGCTTGGGGTGAAATGTTTTAAGAAAAAAGATATAGATGTTTATGTATAAATTTAATATAGTGACTTTTTCATGTTTATATATAAATAAAAAGTTTGTTATGAAGTCTTTATTTTGAAAAATGTGTCTAAATAATTTTATCCTAGTAATTATGAATAATAGGAGAACAGCCTTTGGCTAAAGAACAGTTAACATATTTATTCTGTAGATGATGTTCTTCCTTTGAAAGTTTGCTTTTGGCTTTTTTCTTCCAATTAAGTTTTGTGTATTTCTTGCTTTCGGTTTTGGAACTTTTTCAATTTTAGGGATTTTGCCAATAATTTAAGGTAATGAATCAGTCTAGAAGATTTTTTTTTTTCAATGAAAAGTGTTTAAAATTTAACATTTGCACAAGAAACAAAAATGGTAAGAAAAGGAATGAGGTGGGAAAGAAAGATTGGAAACAGAAAGAAAACAGTAGGAATTCTTTGGATATAGAAATAGCATTCTGTCATGTGCAAAAAATGAAAAGTAGGGAAATGGATAAAAAAAACTGAGTGAGTAGGAAAGAGAGGAGAGTGTGAAAAAAAGAAAGAAAGGTCAAAGGAAAAAAAGAGAGAAAAATAGAGAGAGTATGGATAAGTAAGGTGAATGGATAATAAAGAAAAAGAAAGAAAGAAAGAAAGAAAGAAAGAATATAAGAATTAAAAGGAAGAAAAATGGAGGGAAGCAAAAGAAAGAATCTTGTAGAATGGTGGTTGGCAAGTTCATGTATGAAAAGAGGAGAGTAGGGAAATGGGTAAGAAAAACTGAGTGAGTAGGAAAGAGAGGAGAGTGTGAAAAAAAGAAAGAAAGAAAAGTCAAAGGAAAAAAAAGAGAGAAAAATAGAGAGAGTATGGATAGGTAAGGTGAATGGATAATAAAGAAAAAGAAAGAAAGATATAACAATTAAAAGGAAGAAAAATGGAGGGAAGCAAAAGAAAGAATCTTGTAGAATAGTAGTTGGCAAGTTCATAACATCCTTATTGGAGTCATGAGTTCAATCCTTACTGAATGCACCATATTTTGTGGATTAAGCTAAATTATTATAGCTTGCCTATTTGCTGAAAAATGTTATTCATTTTCCACTGGTACAAGTGGTCAGTATTCAAGCACATGTAAAAAGGATTTGAAATGTTGATTTTCAGGACAGACCTTTTATATTTGAAAACTTGGTGCAGGACAAATTTTCTATCTTAGTTCCTCCTGACAGTTAAAATTTGTAGGGCATATAATGAGGAAAGAGGGCTTGGAAAATTTGACACTGACAGGACATATTGAAGGCAAGAGGGACAGAGGAAAACAGTACATGATCTACCAAATGAGCTTGAGTAAATGGTTAGCAGAATAGGTATTAGGAGAGATAGCAAAAAGATAAAATTTACTAAGAGCTACAAAGGACAGGAAATTGTGGAGAGTCATGATTGCCCATGTCCTGAAGGGTCATGCCACATAGAAGAAGCTAAGTTTAGAATTAGAAAGACAGAAAGAATTTTTTAGTCCGAATCACTATTTCATTCTATCTAGTTGATATTGAATACTGTTTCCATATCTGGTCTGGTGTTCCTGCTACTCATCTCAAAGTTCTTGATAAAATCCAAAGAAGGATCTGCAATGTAATTGATCCTGACTTGGCATCTCGACTTCAGTCACTTTCTCACTGATGTGATGTGGCTTCCCTCTGTCTTTTCTACAAATATTTTCACGGCAACTACTCTGACAAGCTTTTTCCCCTGGTGCCTGGACTACTTGATTCTAAATGTGTTAATAGACTGGCATCTAGGTCCCACCCTTTTACTGGTAAAGTAAAAAAATTATACAAAATAATACAAGGATAATAATAATAATATGATAAAAAAAATGTGGATTCTATAGTTGGCACCTACTACTTATGAAAATAGCCATGTTTTCTTTAGATATTTATTAAGATGGGGTTTGTTTGGCACAAGGCCAAATAGGGACTGGGTTCTTATTTAGGATCAAATACCAGCCACTGGTAGAAGTGGGAAATAAATTACAAGCCAAAAGACAAGTCAAAAATGATTTTTACATAAAAATAAAACCCATGCTGAGATTGAATTGGAAAACAAAATTATTGAAAATATATATCAATATTTTATCTGGCCATGTCTCTCGGGATGAGTTTGAAAATATTATTTCAGTAAAAAAAACTAGCCTTTTTTTTAATGAAATGAAAAAAATGTAAAACTGTACTGAAAGATACTTGATAACATTTAGAATATATTTCGCAAAGCTTTGTAAGGTTTAAAAAAGGAAACACTTACAAAATAAAATTTTCATAGAATGCATTAAATGATTAATATAAAAATAATATAAATATAAAGTGATAAATAATATAAATGTAAAGAAACATCATGAAAAGTTGGAATAAAACACAGAACATCATCTAAAGTACACCCATTCCATATATGAATTTTTCTTAGACATTTTTAAAGCCAGCTAAGGTGACATTGTAATTTCTGTAATATACATAAATACATACATATATATATATATATATATATATATATATATATATATATATATATATATATATATATATATATATATATCTTTATAAATATATATATATATATATATGAATATATATATAAATATATATATATATATAGATAATATACACACAAATAAAAGAAAGAACAGATAGATTAAGAATCTAACATTCTTACAAAATATTTTATAATAAAAATTATTAATATATATATATATATATATATATATATATATATATATATATTCATGAATATATATATTTATATATATATATATATATTTATGAATATATATATTTATATATTTATATATATTTATATATATATATTTTTATATATGTAAAATAGATAAGTTGGTTAATAATATATATATATTTATATATATATATTTTTATATATCATTTATATATTCTCAGTGTGAGAAACTTGTCAAAAAAATATGATGATGAAGAACACAGCCGTGCCTGACAATTTCGAACATAAAACCTTAATTTTCATGCTTCATTTTTGTCTTGTGGTCAATAATTAATATTTAACAAATATTTTTTGTTCTGATCACATTGGTACCTTTTTTTTTTGCACTTGTTTTATTAACCAATCTATCTATTTTACATACTATAAGAAGCACACATGTACTCTTCCTTCTAATAATATATATATATATATATATATATATATATATATATATATATATATATATATATGAGATTTAAGATTTAAGAAACAGCAGATATTTTTATATATGGTGTGCAATATTAAAAATATTAAAATAATATAAAAAGGAGGGTGTTAGTAATATCATATGAAAAGATAACTTTTAAATATCAATTTTATCCCAATTTCGAAGTGTCTTGGTAAAATTTCCAGTTGTAGTTTTAAACAGTATTATATTTATATTAAAATGCTGTTTAAAACCACAATCCCTGAAGACTGGAAATTTTACCCAAAAACTTTGAAATCAGGATAAAATTGATATTTAAAAGTTAAATAATATTTTCATTATATATATATATGTATATATAAAAGTGGACATTGAAGTCGTCACCCACAGGCAATAGTCTGTTTCATTCCAAATGCAATCATCAGTCAATATATATATATATATATATATATATATATATATATATCAGACTATAATGATAGTGGAGTAGTCCATATTATTTAATGGGGTGGGTTTAAAAAAATAATAAATGTAAATAAATATAATATATATATATATTTGGTTGGATAGATGTGAGTTTGTGACCCTGGGTTTCACGCTTTAGCGATCGTCAGACAAACTGATAATATATATATATATATATATATATATATATATATATATATATTTATGAATAAAAATGACAATAGGAAAACTGGTAATTGCTGATGCGTTTCGTCCAATGTGGACTTTATCAAAGCAAAATACGAAAATGAAATTAATTGAATAAAATAACTAATAAAAACAAAAACAGAATGTACCTAGCAACTGGAATGTAGAGAAACGGTATTTTCATACTTTTAACTGAAAAATAACGTCAGTATTTGTCACGTGTGGAGAATATTGTCATTATATATATATATGTATATAAAATTAAGTGTAAATTAAAAAAATTAATTAATTAAATAAAAATAAATAAATACTATACTAAAGCACACATCCACACAATTTATATACCTCCAACTACAAAATATAATCATAATTCAATTACAAACATGTACATCTAAATAATTATAAATATAATACAAATGTATACACAAATATCATGGCATATTGACATATGCAGTTATATGGATATATATGTGGATACATATGGATATTAGCACAATTACAAACTTATTCTATGTAATGATAAATATAAAGAACAGTATTGTTTTCTCTAAATATTACTGGCAATTAAAGGATGTGTATCAAAAGCAGCCACTACTACTTTCAGTTGAAATTTATAAAATCTTTCTCTTAAAACAATTTTTCAGGAAAATAGGTTTGTCAAATCCAGTATGTTTCCAGTATTGATTCCTTCTGAACTTTTTATTTGAAATAATGTGAAATGTCAACATCTTGATTATGCCCTTATTTTCTGTCCAAGTTATACACGCTATCTATTTTAGTTGTTGTTGCTGTTCATAGCTTTCAAGTGATGGTGGTATCTGTTATCTGGTCCCGTTCTTTGTTTGTGATTTATTAGTGCCAGCCTACCATTTTCAAAGAAGGATAATCTTTGCCAAGACCCTCAGGAACCACTTACTCAAAGCCATTTTTAACCATCAAAAAAGTATATACTAAAGATTCTGGAAATAACCCTAGACGGTATCGGTAAAAATGACAGCATTGTCTTGATGAAAGAAAATATCTTTCAATTGTCAAATTACCTGTGCTATTTCTCAATGACCAAGCATCTATGTAAGAAAATCAATATGATGACAAAACATCTATTTTACACAATAAATACTTATTCTTTGAATTAATCTCTTTTCTTGTTAATGCTCTTAATTCAGTGGTGTATAATAATCATGTAAATTATTTTTTTGCACATTGACAAATTCAATCTAGTATTTTTTATCTATTTATTTTTTTAATCATTTCACCTGAAGAAAGATGGTAATGCTAATTGGAAACAAGGGGTTACTCAGTGAAAGAGAATGAGAAGACTTTAGTGTGGAGAAAGGACAATAAAAGAACAGGATTCAGGAAGGCAAAATTAAAATTTATTATGTTGCATTTAAATTTTTAAAGATTGCGGGTGGCAGAGAAGCAAGAAATCAGATGGGAGTTACAGAACTCGGTTGCAGATATGGTGATAAACTGTTATATCGATAGATATTTGAATAAAACAGATATAGATAGATAGATAAATAGATAAATAGATAGATAGATAGATAGATAGATAGATAGATAAAATAAGATTTTGAATTGAGATATATATATATATATATATATATATATATATATATATATATTTATAGATAGATAGATAGATAGATATGAAGATTGAATTGAGATAGATAGGTAGATAAGGAGAGAGAAATGAAATAGATAGATAGATAGATAGATAAATATGAAGAGAGAACTGAGACAGATAGATATGAATAGACTGAGACAGACAGATAGAGGGACAGATAGATAAACAGATAGAAAGATATGAATAGATAGATAGATAGATAGATAGATAGATAGATAGATAGATAGATATGAATAGAATAAGACAGATAGATGTGAATAAACTGAGGCAGACAGATAGATGTGAAGAAAGAACTAAGAAGATAGAATGATATGAATAGACTGAGACAGACAGATAGATAGATAGATAGATAGATAGATAGATATGAATAGACTGAGACAGACAGATAGATAGATAGATAGATAGATAGATAGATATGAATAGATAGAGATGAATTTGACAGAGATTGGAGACAGATAGATAGATAGATAGATAGATAGATAGATAGATAGATAGATATGAATAGACTGAGAGAGACAGAT